CAGAACTCGCTGGCTCGACTACGGTTAAATTAAATAACGGATATCTCCGACATCAGAAGTGGGATTCACCATAGCCTCGCGGGCATTCTGATAAAGTGATTTTCGGTCGATATTAAATTCAGTGGCGCATCGAAGGCTTGCGCAGCCGCGTGGTGCGAGACACCGGAGTCGTGATAGGCAGTCAAATGCACTGGTCGCGTGTTGAGCCGGACGGTTGCAAGTGTCATCAGTGTCGGCCAGAAAATTTGGGGAAGAATGGAAGACAACAACAACAGCACACTGGCGGAACTGCGGCTGAAGTGCGGAGAGCTGGAGTGACGCACTTCAGGCGTGATAACGGTGGTCACATTGCATCTGTGTGCACGAGATGGGTATCAGCGGCTGCGAGCGGCAGCATCAGCTGCATGTAGAAGCGAGTTGATTTGTGTGATTCAACAGTGACAGTATCGGGTGAGCCCTTTCCAATTATTCTTTGATTTGGGAGCTGAATTGGCTAAAAGATGGGAATAGAGATGTGTTTGATTGCAGTGTTGTTTGCACATCTGCCTTCCCATTGGCGAGCCCTGTGCTACGATAGGTTGTGCTTAGACTATCGGAAGCAATATTCGAAAATGGTTTCGGACAGTGGCCTTTGCCGCTTATGTCAGACCCTGTGAAGGAAAAATGTTTCTGTTGAAAAATAATTAATTTAAAAAAATTACGAGTTGCCGTCTGTTTGGTCTGCCGTGCCGTTTGGTTTGAAGAGTGCATCTTCTACCTTCATCATGCAATTGTTAAGGCGTTTGGAATTTATCATGATTATTTGCGATAGTTTACATAGATGCATGTTAATCATGGCAAACTCGGAAGAAAAGGCTTTCCGAAGGCTGAAGGTTGTATTAAATGTGTTGACTGTACCAGAGTTGCCATTTAACGTTACCAAATGTGGGTTTCTTGAACCTACTACGCAGTATCTGAGCTATGAGGTGTGCGGTGGAGAAATCAGACCCAATTCCTAGAAAATCCTTACGTTAAAGGTCCGTCCTTTTAATCGGTGCAATTAAGAGACCGTCGTAAGACCATTTATTGAATTGGTGCCTTATTTTCAAAAACGTGTGCCTCGATTTTCTCAGATCATGAGACAGATTCTTCGGCTTCAAGTATCTATAAGTGAAATGACGATATTCAGAAATTGGAACGAACGTTTTTAATATTATTACAAATGAGCCTGTAATCGTTATTTGTGGGTTCGAAACATCTGATCAAATTTGAAACAGATATAAGCTCTTGTGGATATGGTCCAATGCTAATACACCTAATTAATGGAGACCCTTATGTTGGTGGATATATTGGTAGAACTATGTGTCTTGTGGAGTCCAAGTAGCCTTTGTATGAATTGGAAATATTGGTTGGCGTGCAATTATTCTGACATTTTTGGCATTGTTTGCTCAGATGAGAGTTTGTAGTCTATACTTATTGCAGATGTAATCATTTCTAAACAAAAAAAAAATTAACTGAAGTGCATCATAGAGTAGAGGAAGAGAAAGCGCAAGGCAATTGTGGAATTCTTTTTGTGTCCAGAATTCACATGACTGATTTAACTCCGATAAATAAAAATAAATTGACAGAAAAACGTCTGAACTTAGAATGGAAATCTCAAATGACCGACTGATCAACTTCAGGATTCAGGATTTATTGGTATATAAACAACTAAAAATAATTGAAATTAACTTGAGTTACGAAGAGGGATTTTAAAGAATACAGAGAGGTGTGAGGCAATGTTATCTGCCAGTAGTGTCCCTTAAATTTTGTTGGATAGTTATTAATCAAGGTTATAAATCCGTTATGTGTTTGGATTGGAAAAAATAGACTCAGCAATATTTATCAGAATTGTTGGAAATGACTAAGTTTAAAGATTGTTGAAAATTGTATCATGTGTAAAGTTGTAAAGTAGTCATCTGGCTGGATACCAGGACCGCAGAGGTGATGGGAAGATGCTCTTGGCGGGGTGCAACTTGCGGCGAACTGCACAGTTAGTAGTGCAACCAATGCAAGCCCTTAAGAGATGCCAATCGGACCCACCCTTTGGGCTTGATACCACCACATGACACAGAGAAAAGTATAAAGAAAGAGAAATTTAAAGTTACGTTATGCCGGTTCGGTAAAATTATGGAAGTAAGAGCACAATTTTGTTAAGGCAAGATTAACTTAAAATGGATAAATTGGAAATTGAAATTGTTACGAATGAGAGAGAGGAGAAAGAAAGAGATAAAGAAATGAAGATGGAAATCGGTACATTTTAAAATCCTTAACAAGCAAAAGAACTTATAAGTATGCGCATGAGTTTTTGAGGGCATTGCCAAATAGACAAATAAGCAATCACGTTGATTGATAAAGATTTAGACGACTCAAGTGGAGATGCGTCTGATTCCCATGTGGGGAATGATGATATGGATGGCACGGTTGATGCCTTGGAATCCCAAGAGGGGATATAAAGACCGCACCATAACAGAAGGAATTGTTATGGCGGGGGTCAGTGGAGACCGCACCATAACAGAAGGAATTGTTATGGCGGGGGTCAGTGGAGACCGCACCATAACAGAAGGAATTGTTATGGCGGGGGTCAGTGGAGACCGCACCATAACAGAAGGAATTGTTATGGCGGGGGTCAGTGGAGACCGCACCATAACAGAAGGAATTGTTATGGCGGGGGTCAGTATGTGGGTGTAAAAGGAAATACACCAGTTGATAAAGCTATGTAATTAGAGAAGTCTGAATTGTAAATTATGATTAAAATGAAGATGTAATTTGTTATGTTATCATGAAACCAAGATGCTTATTTTGTCTAAATGCCTCAATACTTATGTTTAGAAAATTAATGAAATGTTTGTTGACAATAAAATGTAACGAGTACCGAAATTTTAGAATACTGTGATTTAAAGTTAACACACGAGGACGTGTGATTTGTCAGGAAGGCCGTGTCGGATCACATGAAACGGGGCCTACTTTATTCCTATGGTCAGAATATGTGAAGCGGAGCCTTTTGAAATACGAAAAGAGCTTGTACTCTATGGTTTCGAAAGGTTATCCTGCCAAACTAACATTTGAAGACACTAGAAGTGTAAGCGAGAGATCGCCGACTGAGGCACTCGTTGGTGGAATCATTTATAAGGCTGTGAGGGTCCAGAGAGACCGTGACGCAAGAGGTGCGTGTGAGCGTTGCAAAGTGTGCAGCAAGAGCCTGTATAAATTGATGAAGAGATGTTGAGTAAGAGTTGTGGTACGAGCAGAGAAAGAAGATACAGATTTGGTACGAGAAGAGAATGAAGTGGCGAGAAGAAATAAAAGTAAAGCTTATTTGACATGAATAAAACAGATAAAATGAAATGTTAAGTTGAGACCAAAGAGAGAAAAAAAGAGAGAATGATAAATGACAGTTATGTTTAGAGCTATTAGAAGACACGTCACGCGAGGACGCGTGAATTGTCAGGATGGCCGTGTCGGCGAGTTGGTTGCTAAGTGCAAATTTGGAAAGCTTGTTGCTATGGCAACAGAGTTATTCGGCATGCTCAGGTATTGGTAGCCCTGTAGGTGTCGCTGGCGCGCAGGCGCAATGACAGTTGAGTCGGTAACAGGAGTGTTACTGAGTGAGGTCTGTTCGTCTGTCGCAACAATAGGAGAGAATGAGAGAGACAGCTTGAGATTGTCTAGGAATGACATCTGAGTGAAAAGTAAGAAAAGGTGAAAGGGCCACAGGAAAAGTGGCGTGATGACAGATTCGATTTGACTGCGCAGGCGAACAGAACTCGCTGGCTCGACTACGGTTAAATTAAATAACGGATATCTCCGACAAATATATAAAATATTAAATATAATTTTATAAAAATACTTGTAGTAAAAAAAGCCCCAAAAATGTATTTAAAAATAAAATAAAAATATTTCTTGTAACGATTTCAACTTGAATAAACTAAAATATAAACTTTTACACCCATTATTTATATTTACAACTAATTTTTCCCGGTGCACAATGAGAGAGAGAGGTTTTTCATATCGTAAATGTCCATCAAAAGTACGCAAGCAGCGAGTCAAATCATAATAAGAGCATAAAGGGTAGAATTTTTAACACCTCACTCCTCCGCACTCAAGCTCTTTTGTTCTGCCCCTCCCCCCTGGACACGGTGGCCCCCCCTCTATAGTCTAGAGATTTCTTATTTTTATTATATAGTTTTTTTTTTTTTTTGTACTTTTTATTCATCGCAGCCTCATTGGCAGTTGAACATCCCATCAGGGGCGATCGATAAACGCTACAGCAGGCATTCCTCCGCCGGCCAAAACTATTCCATTGAGGCTGTCAGATGACGCCGTCTAATTGCTTTTGTTTGCTCCACTAAGGTGCCTAACGAACTCGAGTGCCGCGGAGAGGAGCCACGGAAAAATGTATAACAACTCAATTCGAAAAGCGAAACAAATATCTCAAACTCCTTCAGCTGATGGCTGGCGATGGAGTCGCCGAGTGGCGGGAAAACACTTAAGCGCCAAAGTGTATCTTTGATCTTTTGAAGAACTGACCCCACTCGACTGCTGCCATCAATGGTCGATTTTTGGGGGCAAAAGAGGGTTTTCAACTCGCTTGCCTTTTGTGTTATTATTCAGATGGTAGTTCTGAAGGTTCTCAAGGGGAGACAGATGTGAGTCAGGGGTTTATATAATCTCTATATCGCATATTTGCGTACTTTGAAGTAAGTTATTAGCAACGAAATCGATTTAAAATATATATAAAAACGTATTGCGTATTAACCGTCATATTAAGTGCAGATTAATCACCTTTTAATGTTTAGTAATTAGTAAATAAATTACTCGCGGTCTATATAAACCGCACTCATCACAATTTGTTCCATTTAGTTCAACAGAATGTTTATCCGCGCTGTCATCTTCGTTCTAGTTTTTCCGCTGCTACTTGGTTTGGCCAAGGTCTGGTGTTAAGGCCTCATAAAACCCTTTTAACTAATTTCTTTCGTTAGAATAACTATGACATTATCATACACAACGTCGAATGCATTCTGCCGGCTAAAAAATACGTCAGCTTCTTGGAGTGCAAACTTTTGCGACAACGAAGTCCCGTAGTAGCGGCCCAATTTATGTTGAACGAAACCATTAACCACTTCGACATGCACTGTACCTTTGATCTGTTCAAAAAGGATAAAACCCGCATGAATATCGCCGATATCAAGATGGATGGCTGCAAGTATTTGGGATCCATGTATCAAAACAATATCATTGGCAAATTGTTCAAGAGACTGAAAACTGTCAGCAATATTCCAAACAATTGTCCCGTTGAGAAGGTGAGTTCTTTGTGGAAAAAATCGATTTAAAAATTTGTAAAAATTTAATTTTTTTAATTCTGCAGGGAAAAATGTTCGAGATCCGCAACTATACTTTCATTGCGGATGAGTTTCCACCTGGAGCTCCGCAGGCTAAGTGGCAAATGCGTTTAAAACTGCTGAGGCGATCTGACCTAATTATAACTATAATATTCGACGGCAGTGTGGTCTATAAAACCTAATACTTAAGGGTTATGGAACGTCTAAATAATAACAATAAATTAATTAAATATCTTTGTATATAGAGTTGAGCATAAATTGTAAAATGACTTTCTAAGGATACACAAATCATGAAATAGATAATGTACAAGCATATTTAAACAATTTTAAAGGCTTTATATACATTTCTAGGGAAAATAAAAACATGGAAATTATATTTTAAGAAAGTAAATTTTTTAAAATAATTTTTAAACTTAAAAACAAAGAGATAAAACACTGATAGACCCTGTCACCGCAGTCACCAACCTTTACTATACATTTCACAGAGCGACATCTGCTGCTAGTTTACATCATTTGATAATTCTACACTGTTTTTACATTTCGTTTTTTACAGATACTTTATCTGTAAAATATTGAAGCATACTTTACTCTGATTTACAAAATAATTTCAACTGTTATACACATCCCAGAAGTTTGCTACAAAAACATATAATTTTAAAAATTTAATTAAATTTACAGATTCAAAATTCCCTAAAATTAAAATAAAACAACTCTCATTTTTTTCTAGCCACTTATATATTTTCGATGCTTTTTTCACTATAGCAAAAATTTGTCTTTCGGCATTATTGTTTATTGAATGGCTTGGCTTACGCTTAAATACCAACATTTTGCACACATTTTGTATTAGTTCTGTTTTTGTTTCTCTTTTGGTTTTTTTTTTTTGTAAAGCAACAACATTCTTAAAATGTTTTCATTTATTTATTGTATTTGTATTTTATTCTTTTGTGGGGTCTTTAGGAATAGAAACTGCAAATGTATACATACGTTTGCGCACTTTTTAAAAACCATAAAGTAACAAATGTCTTGGGATACATACAATTTGGTTTATTTCTCATATGTATTCGTCCTCTTGTATATATGTATATGTTCTTTTTTATATATATATATGTTATTTATAATAGCCATATTATTAGTTAGAAGTAAGCATACTATTCTGTACAAGATTTTCCTTTTGGTTTTATTGAGTTGAGAGCTGAGAAAGAGGATAATTCCAATGGCACATTGATTCCTCAATCGTTCAAGATTATGCTGTGAAAGATATGATTTTTATTAGAAATAAATTTAATTATTTTTTAATTAAGATTTTTTCATTTAAGATTTAATGACCTTTAATTATTTAATACTTACATTCGCTTTCTTAACGATTTCCGCTTTCTGCGCAGCTTTTTGTATGTGAATTTGCTCGGTGAGATTTTGTAGTCTTCATCGAATTCTAGTTCAAGCTTAATGAGATTTTGCAAATTTAACTGGCAGTCCTGCAAAATTATAATCACATTTTTAGCATTAAGAGAGATATTAAAAGTTATTTAAAATTGACTTAAAAAGTGATTAAATGTGGGCAATGTTTTTAAGATTATTATCAGGCGTGCCAAGAGTTGTTGCTCTCATTCATTAAATAAATCATTGTATATTTAATATAAACATTTATAAGTAAAATGTTTAAAAATAATTGAGCATACTTTAAGCCTTCAAATTACATTAAAATGAAGTATTAAATTGACACAGCTCTTCAAAGTAATTAAAATTTCTTTCAAGTTTTCACACCCACCTCTAGGTTCTTGAAATGCCAGCTAGAGTCGCTGACTGATCCTCCATCGCTGGTCAGTTCACTGAGACAGGTCCTCATGGTGGGCCAGCACTGGCATCGCTTGTTGGTGATCTCGCAGCCCGGCTGCAGGACAATCGACTCGCTGTCGGTGCAATTATCCTGCTGACTGTAGGTCAGGGCGGTCAGGTGCTGCAAATCTGCGTAACAAAAATAATGTTATTAACACCACACAGGACTCACTGTTGCGTAATAATCTCCCATATTAAATGTTCATTAAACCCCAAAAAATAACCTTTGATTCCGGAACGCATTAACAGCGATTATGGAGGCGTTTATTTTAAATTAGTGGCAGCTTATTTAAGCCCAACCCATTTACATTTTTCCGTTTAGTTTGACACAATGTTTATTCGCGTTGCAATTCTCATTTTAGTTTTTCCGCAGCTGCAACTGGGACTGGCCAAGGTCTGTTGTTTTTCGACTCTTCAACGATTATTTTAACCCCATTGCAACCATAGAATAATTATGACATTATTCTACAAAATCTGGTCTGCCGACCGGTGAGCAAACTAAACTTTTTGAATTGCCAACTTCATCGACAACGGAATCCCGTGGCATCAGCCCAATTTAGTTTAAATGAAACTATCCACCAGTTTGAAATGCGCACTACTTTTGACTTGCTGAAAAAGGATAAGAGCCGCATGAATGTGGCCGATCTAAAGATGGATGGTTGCAAGTATTTGGAGGCCAAGCACTATAACAATTTCCTTGACCGATTGCTCAAGAGGTTTAGGTCTGTGAGTAATATACCCAAGCATTGTCCTGTGCTGCAGGTGAGTGTGGAAATATATAAAAACTATTGTTTTATATTTGTAAATACCAGCACTTTCCTTTCAAAAATGTTTAAAAAATATTCTTTCAATTATATTGGCTAAATTCCCTTTACAAAACGCAGTTTAACTTGAAATCAAAGACAAAATTGAACCTAAACTTGAGGGGAAAATCAAATATGTTTCGATGACAACAAGTCTATTTAACGAAATACAACTTCCGTTTGTTTTGTAGAAACTTGTTCCCCGTCCAGAATATGAGAAAGTCAAATATTTTCCTTGGGGAAACAGCTTTCAATAACTAAAAGCAAATATTTGTCAACATTTTGTGTTGTGCGAGGAAAACTACATAGTTAAATTTGAACAGCATTCGGCTGTTGCTATTTCATTTAGCATTTACCATTTACCATTTTCCATTTCTCATTTTCAATTTTCAACACAAATTGCCGCACGGCCGCTTTGGGCCGCATTAATTCCCTCAAAACCCGATTACACACAAAAACCAAATTGATGGCAACAAATTATGCAGGGAAAACTGTACGAGATCCGCAACTATACATTTAATTTGGACGAATTCCCGCCAGGAGTTCCGCAATCGAAATGGCAAATCCGCCTCAAACTCCTCACGCGATCCCAACTGGCTGCGGACATACTGTTCGAGGGCACTGTGGTCTATAATACGTGATGTTAATGCATAATGGATGCGACTAAATACGAATTCTCTCCATAACCATAACCCGCTCGCCGTTCATCTCTTTTTGTATATAATCATAATAATACACGGAAAAAGCCGGTTGGGGGTCTCTTTTAATTTATATGAATTGTATTTTATATATATATTTATATTTTTATATGTTATATTATCAAATGGAACTGCTAAAATATTTATAGACAGAATATTTACTCTTCTCTAAGCTTTTTATATTGTAAATATTTAATTATACTTATTAAAATATTTAAGTCAAATGCAACCAAGATTTAAACATGACTGGTTTTATTTTTCTTTTATTGTAAATATTTTTAATTACTTTTCAAGGTTTCTTTAGACTCTCTAAAATTCTCTAAGAAGGTAAGAAACCTTCGTCTAGAAGAGACCAACAAGTAAGATCGTTCCCCCCAAAAAATATTTAAATTATATCCTAAATAAAAACATACTCCCGTGTTATAAGTATGTGCCTTTTACTTAACATTCTGCTTATTAAATATTAAAGCAATATTCCGTAAAAGAGCAACCAGAGAGCAAGGATTTTACACCCGCCCAGCGACTTTTGTACATTTAAGTTCATGTGTCTTATATTTGTGAATGTTAAATATTTTTCAACGTGTGGCATATAGTGTATATGTATCGACTTACCCATGCACACGCCCAATCCGCTGCTAATGGGCAGCTTGGTCACACACTGCAGGGGCGGCTCACATTGACCGGAAAATCCGCCCGGGCCGCCGCAGGATTCGCCCAGAGTTTTGGCGCATATGCGACAACATCTGTGAATAGTTTGAACGTAGGACAGAGATATATATATAAGCCATAAGCATAAGCCTTGGAATAGTAATGGCAACGGAATCGGAATGAATCCCAGTAGTAATTGATTCGATTCGATGCCGTCTCGGCTCCGATAAGCGTAAACAATTAGTTAACACTCTAGTCGGTATTGTGATGTGGGGTGTCCGGGGGCGCCTGATGTGAATGCCTAAGCAGTACGTGACTCACGATTGGCATAAGACTGGAACCGAAATGAGACTTTGGCATTCTTAATTATATCATTGCCAATTATTTAGATAATATTATAAGTCTTATTTATAAATAATTCAATAATTAAACGGTCCGTGAAACGCTTGAAAAATCAAAGTGCTGAGACTGCTTATAGCACTCACAGAAATTGAGGATTAACTATATAGATTTTAAAGGAAATTATAAAAGAAATTGTAATATTTATTCACCACGAACAATATGTAATTATGGTTACTATTCGATGCAATTAACGTTTGCATTTTATTTAATTGTTTGCTAATTAGTTTCTGGAAGCCTTGTTTAATGTTAAAATAAATTAAATTATGAATAATAAATTCCTTGCCAAACGTGCTTTTAATAATTGGATAATTCGAACTAAGCCACAGGAATATAAATTGCTTTTTGGTAAGAAACAATTTTTTGGCTGTAATTAAATAGTAAAACGATATCGATACAAATATAATTTATGATTAATAATCTAAAACAAATATGTGGTAATTGCCGCAATAACCAAAACAAGAGTTATGTATAATTTTGTTTAAAATAACCTATATAATATGAATTCTTTATTTATTAATTGTATTTTTTATTTCTTTTGAGATTAATATGCTGAAATTAAAAGCTGCATCTATTATAATTTATTTAATAACAAACACATCACTAATTCCTATAAAAAACTCAACTAACCAAAATCCTAACAAAAATATCAATAAAAAAACAACACAAAGATAATTCACGCAATAAAAATATTCAAATAAAAAGAACGAAATTACAGCTAATATCCGTTTATTCTTTTTATTTCGGCAATAAAAATAACGTGGTATTTATGAGAGGGCAGAGCAAGGCTGGAGGGCGCCTCCCCGCCCATTAAGCATACCGGAAAATATCAATTTAATTGACGAAGGAGGGACCTCCTCTAAAGCTGAGCTGCTACTTACTTGCAAGGATCCCAGAGCATGAGTCCTTTGCCAGGGCAGTCGGGCGAGCGGATTACGTCGCACTCCTTCGGATTGCAATAGCATTTGAGGCCGTTCACCACATGGTTGCTGCCGCCAGATGCTGCCATTATCAGGAGCAGATAGCACCACAAGTAGATGAGCAGCAGGCTCACGTTCAGGCGGCCGAAATAGCTTCCGTTCTGGCGCATCCTGAGCGGAAGTTTGGCTTTGTTGTGCTTCTGCTTCTGCTCTCCTCGTCCCGGCCAAGTCTTTGTCCTTGTGTCCTGTCCTTCCATGGCAGCCCCCTCAGAGTTCTGCCAGTTTATAGGCAATTTTTATTGCGCCCCAGTCGTTCCGACTATGCGTTCCACTGCCTTCAATGGCGCTGAAGATGATGATGATGATGATGAAGACGATGTCGAGGACGAGTCCTGCTGTCCCTGGTCAGGATACTGGGTGCGGGTTCGAGTGCGGGTCCGGTGTCCGGGGCCAGCGCAGGCAATTTGCATGGTGACTGCAAAAATACAACAACAACAAAAATAAACAGAGCCAGAGCATTCTTAAATGATTAAAATGCCATTAACTACGCTCCGGAATATTCCCTGAATTGGCGGGCATTTTACAATTGAAAAGTTTTTGTGCGGAAATCGGTGGGCCGCCTTCTAATTTCATTAAAATTTCATTCGCGTTGCCTACTTTTAGGCGTCGCAGCAAATTGCTCTACGCATTTGGGCCATAAATTAGTAAATTGGGCACTACCCGGGTTCAGGTTCGGCAAATTGAAATGTCCCCGAAACGGTGGAATCATTAATTCAGTTGTACGATATTGGAGTTTTATTAACCCAACAAAATGGTGCAATACATTTTCAGCCTACTTTTGAATTTATTTATTATTTTCTGCTTCAGATGGAGATTCTTTTGGATTGAGATTTCCTTTCGCTTTACGCTTTTCCTCCGATTTTTTCCGTTCTGTCTCATTTCATTTTAAATTCATTTCTGTTGCCTACTTTCCAGTGGCAAAAAAAATTGGTTATAAAATCAAAAATTCCTGTGGGAAAATTGAAATGACCCACAAAACGGTGACATTTTCTCGTTTAATCCAACTGGGAATGCATTCCAAAAATAAAATACCAAGCGAATATGCAAAATAAATAAATCAGATTTACATAAAACTCAAAAAAATTATACGTACTCTGACAGTATTTTCAACAATCGCGTCGACTTTTGTGTTATTTTTGGAATCAATGGTTTATTTATGGAATTTACAAAGTTGTGGAAATTGATATAATTATATATATATAAACAATTGAAAACCAATTTCAATATGTCGTTCAATAATTTAGGTCATAAACTTGTTAAATCCTTTGCACAAGGGTCAGAAAAAGAAAGAAAGAAAACATTTTATGACTCATAAAATGCCACATTTATTATTCCCTTTTATATTCCCTGGATAAATGTTTTTTAATGACTTTAGGAAATCTTGTAAGTATGGTAACTTGAGCTGATTTAAATTAAAAAGCAATTTTTGGAGACAAACTTTACTGGCCGCAAAACTTTTCTGGCCAATTTAAGTTTTCCCATTCAACTTTCCCCGCCGACGACCTTGCTCTTAATCATCATCTTGCATTTGGCTTTAATCAGCATCAACCTGATCGGCTACAAATCTCAAACCCCTCGAACTTCGACGGCTTAATTAACCAAACGTGCGGTCAGGGCCAAAAACCAGAGACTGGAAAATGAACTCGCGGCCAAACACACCACAAATCAGAAAAGGAGAGTGAAAAAAAAGAAGAATACCCACAAAAAAACCGAACCAAAGGCAAAAACTTCAGAAATTAATTTGAACGAATCTCCAAAAGTGTGCCACATGCCGTAAAAGTTGGTGAAAATCCAACACTGTTGTTGAACGACGAGGGGCTCGGATGTGAAATCAAATTGCGCTGGCACACATGCCCAACTAATTTGTATTTAAACGTTTGATGTCGTCCTGTGGCACCCACTCCACTTTAATTTACTTGACGCCCAAACAGAAAACCCACCCATAACCTAGTCCAATATATTTTCGAAATTGTTGCGCAGTTTATTCGCCTCGAAATCAATGGAAAAATAATAAACTTTTGGCAATGCCGTATTGCGAATTTTTTTTGTATATATTTCTCTATTTGTTTTTTTCTTCTTCGAACGAGTATTGCTTTCACTTTGCCTTGGCCAAAAGGACACTCGACATTATTGCTATTGCCATTGTTGTTGTTTTTGTTGTTGTTGTTGGTTTTTTCAGTTGCCTGTCAACCACTTTCAATTTGGCATTCAATTTTTGTTGTGTTTTTATAACAACGGCACTAACACAAACAGAAAGCCATGGCTTTCCCGCACAGGACACACACAAAACATATACACTGGGACACACACCTCGTTACACCTAACGATAGACGTTTAAGACTAGCTATATATGCTGTAGTGCCTCGGTTACTTGTTGTTGTCACTGTCACAGTCACAGTCGAGAAGTCCTTTTCCGCTAAACTTTCGGTTCCGCCGAATTCCTATGAATTTTTCATGCGCTTTTGTCTGCCGCACGCGGCCATTTAAGGCAAGAGACTGAACTAACCTGCTGCCGCTGTCGTTGCATAGACCTTTTGCCAGTTAGAGGAACCGACACATATCGCTCCGATGTGGGGATATATTCGGCTAGCACCTCTTCTCTCCTTCCGTTCCGAAGGATATCCCAGTATTTTCTCTCACCGAGCATGCGTCGAGGCTGCTGAGCCTGGAAGGCAGAGTTATCAGACACAACAGGCGAAGGACTCACGTACTACGCTCGAATTTTTGGGTTTATGCAGGCGGAGAATTCGAAATAAAATAAGTGGGGTTTTTTGGCGAAAATTTCCCTATTTTTTTGGGGGGTTTTTTTGTTTGATTAAATAAATCTGTTATTAAATAAGACTGAGACATGGAAGACTGCCACTTATTGTAGTGCCTTAGAAAGCAAAAAAAAGGGACGAAATATTTAACCTAAAATATTTAGTTGCTTACAGTGGGATATTTTATTAATTTAACATATTCTTTTGGTTTTTTCGAGTAGAAAAATTAAGTTATTATTATTTATTTACCTTCTTATTGTTTTATAAAAGTCCTTGTTGAAGATTTTGTAAGGATCTTTGGCCTTGTTATTGAATTTTGTCCCACCTTCTTAAAAGTGGAGCCTGAAAAGAGACCGAAAACAGTGGAAATTCTGAATATGCTGGCGAAATATAACAGACAATTTTAAAACAAAACAATTTATAAATTAAAATACATAACAAACCAATAAGATACCTAATTTGTATAAGTCAGATAAGTGCCACAAAGGTTGGGAAATAAAAAAACATTGTTTCTCAAAGTTTGTTATAAAAAGTTGGAGGTAATTTCAATTTAAATTTGATAATGCTTTAATTGATCTCAATTTTATTATAATAGTTTTCAGCCTTATTTCATTAAATTTAAGAACCCTTAAGATTATTTTAATACAACCTAAAAATATTGAATGAGAAAAAAGGCCGACTTTCTATATTATATATTAACAGTTTAATTGATTTAAATGTTATGAAATGTATTATAAATTTTTAAAATTAATTTTAAATACATTTTTGTTTTTTAAAATGTTTTCTTGTTATTTTATTTTTACAGCAATCTTATTTGAATGAATTCTGTAACTTTTAAAATCACAATCTTAGAGCGCATAAACGTGGCAATGTCAAACAAATCTTGATGATAATGGAGCGCGCGAGGAGAGCAAACAGCGGATGCAGAAACATCCTTCAAAATATAAAGTTATTTTTGTTTATTATAATTACAAATAAAGAGCAGGATGCAGGGGCTCAGGCTTAAGCTGATCCTGTTGGGGGCGTAGCCGAGATTTCCTTTAGAGCGCCTATCGGGGCTAATGGCCAATTTAAAAGTATGAAATTCCCGTCGTTTGTCTTGCGATTATTTTATATATACATATACATATATAAATACACTTTTAGCTTTTGCTGGCAGTTTAGGCCGCAACTTTGATGATGAGGCGGCGCCCGTGTCAGCTGCTAATAAGCATCGCTCTAAGCAATTTGCCTCCAATAAAAGCCACACACCGCACCACGGTTCTTTAAAGCGCCCCATTCCTTGGGGCAGCCGCCCTCTAAAAAAAGAGGGCAAAAAACTTGCAACTTTTCCAATTAGCGTAAAACAGACGTTCGAGTCCAAAAGTACACGAGAGAGTTCAAGTCCGAGCCTCGGAAGAGTGGGTGCACACGTTGTCGCGGCCCACCCCCCGCATCATCATCAGCATCCCGAGGATGAGTCCAATGCCACAGTAAATGTTGCGTAAAACAACTGCGGACTCGGACTGCTGGCTACCCCCCTCAGTGCCCCTGATCTGAGCACCATGTCCCGCAGATTTACAATTGAACAAAAGAGCAATCGGGAATTATGAGAGGGGCAAAACTTTTTTAACAACAATAATGGAACGTAAAGAAAACGCTCAAACCGCCAAACGAAAAATCGACCAGAAAAATACTAACCAAACCAAGAATATGGAAATATGTCTGCACGGTGAGAAATAAGATTTAGGTATAGTATATATATCTTTATAGATATTCATATATTCAAAGCTCACAAGCTCAGTTTCTCCAAATTTAACAAAATTAATGAGCCAGAAATGTTGAAATATTACTGTTCCAGGAATATTTGAAGGGTGGTTTCTTAAGGCAACTTTTTATAATATATAATAATATATATATATTCATAAGTATTTTGTATTTGTATTTATATTTATATTTACAAGGTTCTTTAATCATTAATCAAACTTATATCTTAACTCATAATTCAAAGTAAAACGAAAACGCAAAAGAGAAAGAAAGTAAATTATAACTGCAGAGAAAGGAAAAGGTTTAAAGAAATAGTAAATTGTTTAAGGAACTATACTGGGTCATATCAGCCATAAATTTTTATAATTTGTATAATTTTATGAAATTTAAAAATACTTAAATGAATTGAATTTTAATTAAAATGTTAATGGTTTAAGTGGAATATAATTTTTGGGCTCAAAAGTCACTGCCTTATGACTGTCTTTTTAATTATAAACTGCTGTTAATTAAATATTTTAACTATGAAAATTGTTAAATTAATTTATAGTAAAGGTTAATTGTTTTTTGTGAACATTTCCTAATAGTATTCCGTCAAATTTCCTTACTTTTTAATTAAAATTTTTGTCTTAATTTCTTGCCTACAAATATCAGAGCACATTCATGTCACTATATTTTTTTGCGGTGCCCTTGTGGCCAGAGAAAAATATTGAAAACTTGTGCTACCAACTTGATATGCTGCAAAAAGTAAATGTGCAACAATGTGGCGTGCGGTGCCGGGCGGGTGGATGGATGGCAAGCAGCTTAAATTGTAAGTGCCCCACCCTGCGGAATGCTGCACTTCGGCTATTAATTCTTGAACAATTGCCAGAGAGGCAAAAGTTTGTCCCGAAAAAGAAAAGAAAAAATGGAAAGCAAGCCCCATGAGAAAAAGCCCAGTGCCGAGCAGAGAGACTTCCCACAGTTGGCGGTGCACACATTTATTTTCAATGTTTCATTACTTAACAACTTTTTGATGACAGTTTTATTGGCATTTAAACAAAAATTGAAGTGTTCTGCTTCAGCCTTACATATTTTTTTACATTTTTTGTTCGCTCTTTTGTGATTTTTTTTTTCTGGTTTGTGTTTGGAGTACGTCATAAAACATTAAACACGAGAAAAGCGCACACAAAAAGTTTGCTATGATTGGAGAGGCTGCGGCTGCGGAAAATGAGACCATCAAAGCCGGAAAATGGGAAATGGAAATGGGTGAGTGGGAGGGCACAAAGGATTGCCAGGCTACAGAGGTTGCCATCGAAACGTAGGAAAACGGAGGCTGGGCTTGTAATCTACAATTATTACAACCAGATTTGGGCAACACTTTCAGTCAAAAGTTGGCAAAGTTTGCCCGGTGATTGCTGCACAAATACAGAAAATAGAAAATGCGTTTCCAATGGAGACACTAGACTTTTGAGAGCCGAGTGCGCTTCAGAAATAAATAAATGTTAATTTCAAGTGAAAAATCTAAGAGCGAGCCAGAATGGAAATGGAATAGCAAAATATTCTAGGGAAAAGTCTCATTCAACAAAGTTTTAGTTTTTAATGCCATTTCTCTATTGATTTAATGAAGCCATGAAGAAATACATATACTTGAAAGACCATCAAAAATCTCTCAAGTTCTTCTGTAATTTATGTATTTATTTGTTTGCTGGCCAACCAGAGTCACTTGAAGAAGCCGAGAAGTTTTATAAGTGGAAGCAAGTAATAGTTTCTGAGTTTTAAATATTTTTTAGATTTAATTAAAGCACATTTTCTTAATTTTAAAAGAGTATGTACCTAAGAAACTTTCAACTAACAAAATATAAATAAAGTGGGCTTAAAGCAAGATGCAATTTCTCATTTAATTCTTATTTAAATTGATTTATTTTTTATATATAATTTCTTATTAACCCTTATCTCCCTTATCTCCCAATTTTGTATATTTCTTCCAATTAGAATTCCCTTAAATATTTTTTTACTTTATCTTTACAGCCTTTACAACTAATCAAGCCCTCCCAATTAACCATTTTTCCGAAATAAATTTGAATTACAAATTAATCCAAGCCAATCCTAGTCGGTGAAAAAATAAAAACGAATTTACGCAACGCCCACACAATTTATTTTGAACAATTTTTTTCTCGCTTCCCTTTTTTTACGCGTGGCGTCTTTATTTTTTTAGGGGATTTACTTTGGGGTAATTTGTGTGTGTTTTTTTTTTTTTTGCGCCACGGCTTTGGTGTCGTTAGATCTGGAGGGTCTTTGAGGAGGGGCTAGGGGAATGTCCGAGTAATTTGCCACTCGTCCATTTTAAATTACATTAGTTGAGTCGCGCGCCAAAGGAAGTTTGGAGCTGGGGCGTATGCTATATAGTATATAGTACTATATAGTACATATAGAAGGGGAGTTCTCGCTGGTCAAATGCATATTTCTTGTTTCAATTACTTTCGCGGGGACTTGGCTCGCGGCGAAGGCTATGGGATATATACAAATATATATGTATATATGTATATATATATTCGAACAGCACCCGCAACCCGCATTTTGCCTTAATGAAATTTGCATATAAATTGCAGGACCCAAAGTTGGAAGTTGAAAGTTGATTTCGATTATTTGATGGTCGGCGGCGGCGACTTTCATGGAGTCCTCGGTGTGGCATCATCATCCATTGTCTGCTGGTGGTTTCCATCTTGTCGCCTGTTGTCTTCTTTCATTTTGCTCGGGTTTTATTTTTTGTTGTGGTTGCTGCTGCTGCTTCTACGTCTTTCTTTTTTTTAGGTTGTCAAAATGTCGACTTGTTTATCTTTTACATGACGCAACACTGTGGCATTGTCATCATCATGACGATGGTCGTCGCTCCGTTGCATCGCCATCCGGATGCAGCGCGCTGTGGCATGCCGCACGCCAAGTGGAGCGTACTGCTGGAAAAGTATGCAGCTGCCCCCGCTTTTCC